CAGGGAGGCACAGAACTGCACAAGTCGCAGCAGTAGCATCGATCACAAGGATTTAGGGTTTAGGGTTCAATTTGCGTCTTGTTCAGCCCCAAAGCATCACCGTCTGTTTTTTTTGAAATTCAGGATGCCCCTAAACCCTAGACCCTAAACGATCCAAATGAAACCTCAAGCGCTCCAGCCCTTAGCCCCTGTCTCGAGATCCCGAGCTGCGAAGGCGTAGCCTGCAGAACACTCATGATCTCTGAACAAACCCCCCCTTAAAGATCCAGAAGCTCTAAAGCTCTACTAAACCCTGAAACCTAAGCCCCAAACCCTGAGCGAAGGCTGAAGAGCAGAAGCCAGAAAGTTGGAACATTAACATCCTCATGTCCTCATGTTCTTAAGGTAAAGTGAAGGCCATCCCAGCACTAATCTTCCGAAATCCATGTTCCAACTTTCTAGGATTCGCTCTAAAGGCACCTAAACCCTAAACCCTAAACCCTAAACCCTAAACCCTAAGCTTTCGAGGCAGGGGAGCCCCTGACCTTGGCCTACGTCGAACCGGGTTGGCACCAGCTCCCAGCCCGTTTCAAGGGTTTAGGGCTTAGAGCTTATAGAGTTTAGAGTTTAGAGTTTAGGGTTTAGGGTTTAGGGGTTAGGGTTTAGGGTTTAGGGTCTAGGGGTTAGGGTTTAGGGTTTAGGGTTTAGGGTTTATTTGGGGCTTAGGGCTTAGGGAGGCTACTTCGAGCGCAAGCGAAGTTAGTGGGCAAGAACCCTACTGATAACGCTATCCGCTATACTTTGTGAGGCCCTGATGCGCTAAGTCAACATTTAGGGCTTTGGTTTTGGAGTTTGGCTTGGGCTTGGTTTAGAGTCTACAGTGTTTCTGCCTATGTAGGATTTCGGATTTGGGGCTTTGGAGGGACCGAAGCACCGAACACAAAGGATGCCACGAATGCCACCGAAAACGCAAAAACGATTTTGAATTCGTAGGCTTCCTGGTTGAGGGATCTTCTTCTTAATGGTTACAAGGCCGGAAACCCGTTTGAAGCCGTAAAGCCTGCATCACAAGTCATATATGAGGCGTGCTTACGAATAGCCTTAATACCTAGTAACTCTAGCAAGGACAATGGCGATGATAGCTATAACAGGATATAGCGACTATAATACTAATAATGTAACAGCAATGGCTCCAGGACGTGTCAGGCAGAGAACAGCTGGAAACCAATACCTTCAAAATCTGGGGGGGGGGCGGGGGTTAGGGTCTGGGGTTTAGGGGTTTAGGGTGTCTTTGGCCGTCTAACCTCCAAACCCTGCATCTTGGACTCACTCACTCACTCTCTCTCTCTCTCTCTCTCTCTCTCTCTCTCTCTCCCTATGCCATGTGGCGAGAAATCCCCGAAACGTTAAGCCCTAAGCCCTAAACCCTCAACACCCAAAAGGTCTTCCCAGGATCCTACACCCCAAACCAACCCTAAACCACAGAACTTGCCCTACCCAGAGAGCCCAAAACACCTTAATTAAGGAGTATACTTTAAATCACCATATTAAGACCCCTAGAATTTAAGGTATATTCCTTCACTGAGGTGTGTTGGGCTCTTTGGGTAAGCCCTTGACAAACCTTAACCGCAAGGCCCGGGTTGCTGCTCGATAGAGCTGACCCACGGCATTTCGGGGTCTGGTGAGCTGACACTTTAGTTTGGCTTCCACACGCATTTCGATATATTTTTTTATTTGTGTTTACACTTTTTTGTTCAGTCATTCATTTGGTCGATAATAAATGTGCGAGTCAGCTGGTCATCGGCTCTGTCCGTTGTAAATCGTCGCGGGGCTCTACCTCAAGTCTTCGGCGGAAGAGCAGCGCTCTGCTCTCGGAGTTTGGATTGCGAATTCTGCTACTGCAGCTTCTTTCCTGACTTCCTACATTTCGCGGTTTCGGGTTTAGGGCTTATAACTAGGGTTTCTAACACCCATGTAATGCTACGATCATGGTCTCAGCAGTATCCTGGGGCATTTGAGGTCAGATTTCGTGTTGTTCACACATTGAGCTTGAGGCCAGGAGATGAGCGACGCCAGCAGCTGACATGGCCTCAGTCTGCATCTGCAGACCTTGGGAAATAATCCACCATTTGCGTGTTTTCTGATGTTTCTGATAGTTAAATACGATTGTTGATGATATAAATCCTGCATTCCTCATTATGGGTCATGCAGGATTTGTATCATCAACCGTATTACAGGGGTCAGATCGGGCTTTTCTATGAGTATTCCAATGCAAGTTGCAAACCGCGCCGCTGCAAGTGCCATCACCACTCATTCTGCCAACTTCGACCGCAGCAGCTGATGCTATACTAGTACTTGTGTCGCATCAAAATGGGTACCAGGTCGAGAACGGCGATGCCGACGACGCCTTCTACACCTCCTGCTATTGCTTGATTGCTGCTCCTGCGCCTGATACTGCCAGGGCTACCCTGCTAGCACTGCTACTGCTACTACTGCTGCCTACTGCGGCTGTTCCCACTCCTCCTCCTCCTCCCCCTCCTACCTCTCCTCCTCCTCCCCTGCTTCAGTTGGTGCTGTGACGACTATGACTATGATTGCTACACTGCTACACACGGCGATGGCTAAATGCCACCGCCGCGACGACCACGACGGTTTCACAGCTTCATTTGCCGCTGTTGCTGCACTGATGCTGGCGCTACGTACGCACTGTAATCGTGGAGCAGCAACATGAGGGGTAGCAGCCCGTCTCCGTCGTTGCTCTGGTCGTGGTCATACTGTACATTCTGTCATCTGCCTCTTTGCGGGCTCTTATCCTCTCAGCCCCCTCAGCACCCGTGAGGGAGCCTGTTAAAGGAATCCTCATTCCCACAGCCCTGTTTTTGAGGTCTAGCCACTGGTTTTTCGACTGTGACTGCCAACGTTGCGAAGCGGAAGGCCAAATCGCTTAAGGACTTCACGAACCAAGAGTCACAGTTAGAATGGGGCTTAGGGCTTGGGGGTTAGGATACAAGTTTGTTACAGCTGTCTATGCAAACAGTGTGCGAGTTTATTCGTCTTGGGAGGTGTTTTCGGTGTTTTGCTAGGGTTTAGGGCCTTGGCGTGTTGGGATGTCTTTAGGAATTTTGGATGAATCCCAAGCCCCAAGCCCATTCATTCGGCAAAGCCCAAGTGACAAAGCCCTAGTCACTCAAACCCTAAAGCCGAAACCTGGATCCAGAGCCAGTCGGGTTTAGGCTTCATGTTTAAAGTGTAGAGGTCGCCACCGCTACACTAAACAAACAACAAGTCTGAACCCGACTGGCTCTCGATCCAGGTCGAATCACCGCAGCTCTGACCCGAGGATGACTTTCGCGGTGGCAGAAGAAAAAGCTTCAGCTAACAAGAGGGTTTAGGGCGCTGGACGATTTTAGGGGTTGGGGATTTTTGGCGGGGGCCATTAGGGCTCAATGTGGGTCTTAGGCTGTTTGGGGTTTGGGGTTTCGGGTCTCTGATTAGGGCTTAGGGGACCTGAAACTCTAAACCCTAGACCCTAAACCCTAAACCCTAAACCCTACACCCTAGACCCTAGACCCTAAACCCTAAAACCTAAACCCTAAACTCGCAGGGGTTAGGGAACCTGAAACTCTGAGGAGCAGCCCTTTGCTCCGATTTTCCACCAAGACAGAATCTGGGTAGTTCTCTAAATTAGGGTCCCTTTTAGGGTCCCTTTGATTAAAGGGTGCCGTACTAGATTGGGGATCCCAAAAAGGGGACCCTACTTTAGAGAACTACCCATCTGACTTCTGCTTCTTCTCTTTTGCGTGCCTGCGCCGGCGGGGAAGCTTTGCCGGATCTTGTGTTGCCGGGGTTCATCTTCGCATGTGTACCGTGTAACTGTCTGGTATACTGAGAGCTTGCTTCTTCCCTCGTCTACCGTCCCTCTTCTTTCTTCTAAATTTCTGCGTGCGTTTGCAAAGGAAATCTGCTTCTAAACTCACGGAATCTGAGGAACCCGGCCCCCCAAGCATCACAACACCCTTCGATCTTGCCAGTATCGTTCTCATTTCGGTCGTCAGTGCCCTAAAACCCGAGGCCCAAGTATACAAGCAGTACCAAAATCTTGGGGGCCGACAGCCCCTGAAATTCCGAAAGCCCTCAACCGTAACACCGGAAACCCTATATAACCCTTTTCAGTTCCAGTTGAAGCCTCCGAGTCGGAATTGTTTTTCTACATCGGAAGGGCCTCCACTCATGATTTGGGTTTAGGGGTTTAGGGGTTTAGGGTTTCGGGTTTGGGGTTTGGAGTTTAGGGTTTGGGGTTTAGGGGTTTGGGGTTTAGGGTTTAGGGTTTAGGGGTTTTGGCTTTAGAGATGTGGAGGCTACCGATGCCATCTTGGTCCCGTGGTTTTAACGGGAATCCCTCAGCCCTTCAATCAAGTACCAACTCGAGTGAGTCGAAGGTGTAGCCTGCTTCCACCGCGAGAAGGACGTGTTTCGTAGTAGAGAAGGCACCAGAATGTGGGAAGTTTCTAAATTAGGGTCCTTTTAATTAGATCCTCAAAATGGTACGGCACCCCTATAAACAGGACCCCCCCGAAGAAAGTCTCATCATCGTCTTCTCGCTATGTACTGGTAGCAGTCTGACTTCGAGCTGAATCCGGGTTTCTTGCAGTGAACTGCCGTGCCTTGAGGAGTGTAAGAAGCGCATCTTTTTTCATGGCAGATCTGCAGTGCTCACGAATGAGTCGGCCATCCCCATACACGCAGACTTAGACATCTGTCGCATGTTTGCTGCCTCCTGTGCTAGAAAGTGGCGCGTTGTGTAAAGTCGTTTCGTCTCGAACCCCAGAGACCAGGACACACCAAACAGAGGAGCCTTCTGACATACAAATCACGATCGTGAGAGATGCGGGATTTGCAGTTTACACAGCATTCTGAGGCATTGTCAGCACATGGCACAGTGGAATATAACTTGCCGAAGTGTGGGTGCATAGGAGGCTGGTCCCTCACCACTTTGAGGCCACCGCTCCAGGTACCGAGCCATGCCGCAACATGCGCAAAGGTCTGAGACGGTGCTGGGAAAGCACGAGGATATGTTCGATCCCCAGGATATTGATCCAGAAAATATTGATCCAGAGGTGTCAGTGACCCTTGACGACAACATTCCGTCTGAATTTCCACACTCGTCAGAGGAGGAGGAAGAGCAAGACAGAGTTGCCGAGCTGATGCAACGGTGCATTGACTTCATCAACGAGATGCAGGCGACGCGGCCAGACATACTGCGTGGAGTCCGTGTTTGGAAGCTGTTGCGTTACTTGCCGTCGGCGTGGCTACGAGGCAAGCGCAAGGATCTGCACAGGTTGAGTCAGCAGACAACGCAGTTCGATCAGTTTTGGTCCCACAGCTGGCAGGGGTCGGCGTGGACCAAATATGCCAACATGCTTTACCTGCATAATTGCATTCCGGCAAGCATAGCAGGAACATTGAGTGCAAGCGTAGCCTGTGGCCTCGTCTCAGCAGGATATCTGGGTGCACAACAGGCATGGTGCTCTGTCTTCGGATTTGTGGCCTTTTGCATGACCTTGCTGATCTGGCATCCGCAGAAGCTGGTGTTTCTAGACATCGCATGCATTCATCAAACTCACCAAGACCAAAAGGGACAAGCCCTGCTTAGTATGGGTGCATTTTTGAAGCAGTCGAAGTCCATGCTGGTTCTGTGGGATCCTACGTGGGTGACCAGACTGTGACCTGGATTCTATTCAGTTTCGTTAGTAAGCCACGAGTACTCATGAGCTATCTTGCAACTGCATGCAAAGAAATTGTGCTTCCTTCCTTCAAAAGGTTTGGTGGGTGTCTGGTAGCACAGGGCTGAAAACCCACGGCTTCATAGCTCTTAAGTGCCAAATCTTCTTGAGCCACCTTTTTGTCACGTGCTGCTCCCATGCCTTCTGTTGCCTTGACTTGTTGTTGTGTGTCTCTTCATGCCCTGTATGTCTTTATTCCCCCAACACGTGTGTCTTACGTTAGGGGCAAGGAGGTATCGATTGCGCGGCGCCCTCTGTGGCTCGAGTCCTCAGTACGCCCGATGTCTTGCAAGTTCCAAAGCCTTGGCTTCGTTCTGGCCTTCGACCCGCCGAAGTGAATATACACATACATATATACATTTTTCCTATGTGTATGTGTGTATATATATATAAATAAATATAAATATAAATATAAATATAAATATAAATATAAATATATATATATATATATATCTATGCTCATGGTCTCTCGGGCTCGGCCGTGTGATCTGTCAAACACCGCCAGACAGGGGGGGAACGATTTTGGGGGGTGCCCGCAAAGAAGCTCGAGGCCTTGCGGCAAATACCGTCAGTGCGTTGGAGGGGGAACGATTTTGCAGCTTCGTGGGTGGTGGTCTGGTGGTGGTCCTGATCGGTTTGGTCGCCTTGGTCCTGGATTTACGTTGTTTGTGATCCTTGTGACATTGTGGCTCATTTGTTGATACAAAGTTATCCGTCACCCCAGATAGATACATAGATCGATCGACCGTGGCTCAGTCTTCCTTGAACAAGAAAACCCGGAGTTGTTTGTCCATTTGACCCTAAACCCCCTAAACCCCGCAAGCCCTAAGCCCTGAGGCCTACTTGCTGGGGTGCTCGTAGATTGAGCGAGACATCTGCCCGGTCCATTCCCGTCTCAGGCAGAACCCTAGTTCCCCCACCCAGCCCTAAGCAGCCGATTCAATGAATACTTTATATATATATATGCATACATATATACACACACAGAGTCAGTGCAACATATCGAGCACATAGTACATAGTATTCAGTGGCTTCCGCCCCGCCTCACGAAACTCCGCAGGGTCCAGACCGCCAAGGAAAGTGAAACACCTACGTTTGTCACTCTCGGCAACAGCATGTCAGTCGTGTTTGTTCTTGAAATAAGTGGGATCCCCCCCCCCCCCGCATCAGAAGCCATGATTGCAACTGTGACATGACCTCGGGAAAATTCCGCACCTTCCTCGAACACTCAGGCCGAATCGCGTGCATTCGGTTTGGGTTGTGTGTGGGGTTTAGGGCTATCGTTGGTGCGATAGGGCTGTGATGCGGTGAAGTCTCTCCCTTAAACCCTAAACTTAAACCCTAAAAAGATGCAAGGCCTTTTGCGCATTTTAACGCCCTGTAAAGTTTCTCAATGCTGTGGCAAAGCCAGCATGTAAGTTAAGGGTTAAGGGTTTATTAAGGCCTCCTGACTCCTCTAAAATAACTGAAAACATAGTCTATGCTTAATACGGCTGAAAGAGTTGTAGAGTCTGTATTTACTGTTGTTTTCCGTGATTGATATCCATTTTAGGTCTATGTGTGCCATTATTGTCTTCACGTGTCGGGATTTGAAAATTACCTATACTATTTTGAGGGTTCTAGTTCTTTACTAGATATAGTCTAGTATACCCCGAAACCCTATTCTAATGATTCAGGCCCCGGTCTTATACTACCCTTATAGTAGCCCATATAGAACCCTTTACAGGAGCCCGTTAAAGCAACCCCGTTCTAATCGTTCGGGCCCCCTTCATGTGTCGAAGAGAGAAAGGTGGTGCATCTTCGAAATCGCTGCTTTTCTGCACAGCCGCAGTCCCGGTTGCAAGCCAGACCTTCAGATCGTTCCTCCGTTGTTGGGGCCGGCGCTTCTGGGATGTGAGGTGCTGTTCGGCATAGCATGCTTTATATACTATTATATAGAATCGGCCTTGTCCGCTTCAGAAGATGGAATACTCGTGGGAGAACTCTATGTGGTGGTCGCATCCGCTCACGTCCTGCTGTTCGTAGGCTTCGTGACGCATGCTTTGCGCGGACATGGCCGCAACATCGATACATTGCAAAGGCAGCTCCGTGGGTTCAAGGTTGAGCATGCGAGAAGCGCTTGCTGCGAGCTCGGCCATAAGAGCAATTCTGCGAGTCTCACTTGCGACAGAAAGGTCATTCACACGTGCATCGCAGCATGGTACAGCTCGCTGGACAGCTTCGAATTGCAAGTGCAAACTGACGTGCGGCTGGCCATTATCGATCAGCTTGCATACGAAACCATCACTTATCAACGTATCGTGCTTCTTTCCACTCCGTATGTTTGGCTTCGTCTTCATTATGCAGCTAGCCACGCAGACGATCCTATCCGATCGGTAGTCGACATGGCCCAAACGTTCACTTACTTGCTGGCAATCTTCCCTTTGGTTGACAAAGTGGGCATCCGCTTGTGCTATCGCTGGCGCGCGCGGTGTGGCAGGATCTACTTGGACTTCTTGCGATCGCTGGCCGTCGTGATCGTGGGCATGTCGTGCTACATCGCTTGTTACGTGATCCAACTCTACGTCTTCCGTCAAAACGACCGGGGACTTCTCCTGAGTGTGATCTCAATGCTTTCATGGTGGACTGTCGCAGCCATGCTGTGGCGGTTCATTTGAGTCCACGAGCTGGACGTCAGAAGCCTTCAACCCTTGGATTGAAGTCTTAAACATAAAACCGCGAACCTCAGACCGATGGCGTGGACACGTGAGATTCCTGCTGACTGGAGCTTTGAGGTATAGTTATCATCACTACCATCTTCAGCATCGTTATCATGAGCATCATCATAACCATCGCCGTCATCATCATCATCATCATCATCACCGCAACAGGCGCAAATCACACACTCGTGTTTCAAGGTCTGGTTGCGCCCTAGTGCTGTACTGGAACGCCATTAGCTCCATCCTAACTCAAATCCGAAGTCTGTAACAAGGGCGCATTCAAAATGCTCGTTCGGCCGCAGTAGGCCGAACAGGTTCAACAGGGTGGATGAAAATGACATGCCCGTCCTAAGTGGCAGGTCAACATGCCATGGCATCTTGAGCCTCATCATCGCAACATTCGGGATTCAAAGTTGCGTTTTGCACCGGGGCCCTCGGCAAAATGTCGAGGGTTTCATTTTTAACGTTCGGGCTTCCTTTCTAGAGGAAGCTATACGACCCAGTGGCCAAATGAGCCGTCAGGCGAGCTCGGAAAGGGACAAATGGGCTCAGGCAGAAGCCTCAGGATACCCTACAAACCCTATAAACCGTTTCCCCCTTAACCTTAAAGGTTTGAAGGCTCGGGGGTTCGGACTTCGGATTTGGGTTCGGTCAGGTTGGAGCCGATTGGGAACCCGACTACACGAAGTCCCGAGAGCCCTCATAAAGGGCAATGTTTCGGATTCCAAATGCCGTATCTAGAAGTCTTTGCAACGCCACCGTGATCAGATGGTCTGATATAGGGGTTTAGGTTTTAGGGCAAGCTTCCCATCTTGCAGCTTCGAGTTCCCCTAAACCCCTAAACCCTAAACCCCAAACCCCTAAACCCTCAAGAAAGAAATAAATAGAAATTGCTTGTTTCTGTTGGCCGATGCGAAGGCGCATTTTTTCGGTCGGGACACAACCTTTCCATGTTCTGATAAGCAAATTTCCGTTTTAGGATTGCGCAGACCCCCCCCCCCCCCAGCCCTGCCCAGCCCAGCCCGCCCGATTCAAAATGTGGTTCCAAAACAAAAAACTCGGTCAAAACTTTCGTTCAAATCGTTTCGGTCAAAACGTTATTGGCACCTAAACCCTTAACAATTTCTATAAACCCTAAAAATAAACTAAACCCTATACACCCTGGTCTGGGTTTTGCATCTTGCAGTCTTGCGGCCTCCGTAGTGCTCCGAACTCAGAGCCCTGTTCAGCAACATGGCAAGGCAGAGTAGCTCGCCGAAGTGTGGGGTCGAAATAATTCGTCCCTACAAAGTTATACTATTGCCGGTGCCGGGCACGCCAGCCGCATCTTCAAGAGTGCCTGGAACACCGATTCCAGAGACGCCAGCTCGGATCTCTGCCAGAGATAAGACAGGCGAAGAAGGGCGCTCAAGGTCACCGCAGCCTTGAGGTTTTCGTTCGTACAGAGACTTCTTCCGGCTATATCCACGCGTGATGCAGTCCAGCTTTAGTGCAGCCTTCAGAAGGGCCTCGAGGTTTTGTTGGGGTAACAGACGAAACTGTCGGACCTTGGTGTGTATCGCCATGGAGGATTAGTAGGAGTGAGCGGCGAGACTTGGTCCAGAGTATGACCCGATACTTAAATGCTTTCCTCCAGGACCGTTGCATTGCGGCGGGATACGACGCCCCGCGTTGGACAAGCTAGCAGATTACCAACTTAGGCGCGGAACCGCGCAAAGATGCCTCTAACAAGCCGGGCACGTATAGCTATGCCATTAGCATTGGTGATTTTCACCAAGGTGGACTGTGCAAAGAGAGAGGACCCACAGGGATCTACCCCTATGCAGGTGCGAGGGACGCGGATGCGAGGAAACTTAACCCTAAGGAGATCCACCTTGTCATGCCGTTCAAAGGCACCAGGTACAGCATCGCGGGTTTTACGATGACCGATATGGATATGGGAAAGCTGAGCTCACAGGACATCCCCTTTTTGTCGCAGTTGGGATTTCCTTCCAATGCTGCTGGAGCTGTCGAGGATCCTCAGGAACCCATGGTCCATCACGTTGCGGAGCAGACAAGCCTGATGAGGTGATCTGGGAAACAAGCCCTGAGGATACAGCTCAGGAGAATGAGACAGCGTATATGGCGAGTCTGATTGACTACCACAAGGCACCTGTCTCAGGCCAGCTAGGGCTCGACAAAGCGATGGAAACCGAGTGGCAAAAGTACGTCGAGTTCAACGCTGTTGTCCCGTGTACGAAGAAGGAGATGACTGAGCTTACACGAGCGGGACACGTGTGCATTCCCACAAAGTGGGTTTTGACTGACAAGAACGAGCATCTGTCAGGCACGCCTGGATACACACCCAAGTGGAAAGCGCGACTAGTAGCTTGCGGAAATTTTGAGCAGATGAACGGCGAAGACATCCGCGCTGACTCTCCCTCTGCGGAGCAGGAAGGCATCGTGCTTATCTGCAGCTGGGCGGTATCCCTAGGATTGCGCCGCAGGGCCGCCGATATCACAAATGCTTATTTCCAAGGAAAACGCTTGGAAAGGATCCTCATTTTGAGGGTCACCCGAAAGGCGTTCCTGACGCCGAGATTCAGCAGGCCGGGTTTATGATAGCCCGTGTACCAGTTTACGGGACAACCGACGCGGGGAGGAACCTTTATCTCCTTAGAAAAGAGAGTTCCCGTGAGTTCGGGCTCAAGGTGCCCCAGATCCTGTCCGCCTTGTACTCCCTCGCCGACGAGAACGGGACGCTTTGCGCAGCACTGTGTACTCATGATTTCTTATGGGCGCACAGGGCGAGGTAGCGATACAGCGACTGCTTGACCGGTTCAAGATTGGCCGGGTGGAATCAGACCAGTTTCGCTTTTGTGGACGCGAGTACACACAGCATCCAGACGTCACCATTGAGTCAAACTGCCGTGATAATACGCGGGCTATAAGGCCCATCGAGATCCGCAAAGACGAAAAGGCACCACACCGGTGACCCATGCCCAGAGGACAGCTCTGAGGTCAGTTATTGGCTCGTTAACTCGGGTCGGCGCGACTCGACCCGACTTGGCATACAAGGTGAATGCTTTACAACAACGCGTCACCACCGCTACTGTTGAGACACTGCGCGAAGCGAACAGGGTTGTCGCCCTAGCGCTGAACGACGCGGACCGTAGCATAGTCTACAGGGCCCATCTGCCTTGGCAGTCCGGAAGACTTGCGGTAGTTACTTTCTGCGACGCGTCTTTCGCAGCAGGACCTGGGCATAAATCCCAAAGAGAGACCGATTGCACTACCTTGCGTCGCATGACTGAAGCCGCCGCAAACGGCAGCGCGAAGCAGCACGAGATGCACCTTATCTCATTCAGTTCTTCCACCATGAAGAGGGTATGCAGAGCCACCTTGCAATGCGAGGCATACTCCATGCAGCATGCCACCGAGCATGGTGATCGCTTACGCGCGAGCGTGTTAGACCTCCAGGGTAAGCTGCCCACGCGCGGTGGCTGGGAGGAGAGCACGCGCCGTAGTATGTTAAACACGTACAATACACCGACTGTCGTAATGTGTCGGACCACCTGCTTCACCCGTACCGAAGCAGATCGAAGACAAGCGGTTAGCCATAGAGCTGGCTGGTTTGCGCCCAATGCTCTGGGAAGGCGACGAGCTCAGCCAGCAGGCACCCGCACCGCACGGAGACATCCTCCGTCGGATACCGACGCATCTGCAATTAGCAGATTGTTTCGCAAAATCTATGAAACCTCACCTTCTGAATTGAGTGGGGCAATCACCTCGAACACGGTTACATTGCTCGAAGATGTGCCCACAGGGGCGACAGTGCTGTTGGCCGTCTAGGTAGCAGCACCTGTGTAGTGTCATTGCTAGTAGGAACAGTTGACAACGCACTTACCGCAGGCGCCTTGGGCTTGAGCGGACAAAATCGGCTGTTGTAACGTGCTGTAGCATTCGGTTCCTGTCTTCAGCTTCGAAAAGGTTTAGGGGTTTGGGGTTTAGGGTTTCGGGGTTTTGGCTTGAGAGATGTCAACGTGGAGGCTGCCGATTCGCTATCTTGGTCCGGTGGTATCAACGGGAGTTTCTCCTTCAATCAAGTACGCACCCGGGTGAGTCGAAGGTGTAGGTTGCTTCCACCGCGATAAGGACAGGACATGTATCGTAGTGGAGAAGGCACCACATTACTATAATTAGAGTACATTATATCCCGAAACCCTAGTCTGCATGTAGTGGGCAAGGGCACAAGCGGCAAAAGTCTCATCGTCGTCTTCTCGCTATGAGGGAGTCTGACTTCCGAACTGAATCCGGGTTTTGTGCAGTGAACTGCCGTGCCTTGGGGAGTGTAAGAAGCGCATTTTTTCTTGGCAGATCTGCAGTGCTCACGAGTCAGTCGGCCATCTTGTTAAACGCAGACGTAGACTGGTACTACATCCACACATTTGTCGCATGTTTGCTGCCTCCTGTGCTAGAAAGTGGCGCTTTGTGTAAAATCGTTTCGTCTCGAAACCCAAAGACTAGGACATACCAAACAGAGGAAGGAGCTTTCTGACATACAAATCACGATCTTGAGGGATGCGGGATTTGCAGTTTACACAGCATTCTGAGGCATTGTCAGCACATGGCACAGTGGAATATAACTTGCCGAAGTGTGGGTGCATAGGAGGCTAGTCCTTCACCACCTTGAGGCGACCGCTCCAGGTACCGAGCCATGCCGCAACATGCGCAAAGGTCTGAGACGGTGCTGGGCAAGCAACAGGATATGCTCGATCCCCAGGATATTGATCCAGAAAATATTGATCCAGAGGTGTCAGTGACCCTTGACGACAACATTCCGTCTGAATTTCAGGACTCGTCAGAGGAGGATGCAGAGCACGACAGAATTGCCCAGCTCATGCAACGGTACATTGCCTTCATCAACGAGATGCAAGCGACGCGGCCGGACATACTGCGTGGAGTCCATGTTTGGAAGCTGTTGCATTACTTGCCGTCGGCTTGGTTAAAAAAAAGCTCGACGATCTGTATGGACTGAGTCAGCAGGCAACACAGCTCGATCAGTTTTGGTCCCACAGCTGGCAGGGGTCGGCGTGGACCAAATACACCAACATGCTTTACCTGCATAATTGCATGCCGGCAAGCATAGCAGGAACGTTGAGTGCAAGCGTAGCCTGCGGCCTCGTCTCAGCAGGATTTCTGGGTGCACGACAGGCATGGTGCCTCCTCTTCGGGTTTGTGGCCTTTTGCATGACCCTGCTGATCTGGCATCCGCAGAAGCTGGTGTTTCTAGACATCGCGTGCATTCATCAAACTGACCCAGACCGAAAAGGACAAGCCCTGCTGAGTATGGGTGCATTTTTGAAGCAGTCGAAGTCCATGCTGGTTTTGTGGGATCCTACGTGGGTGACCAGACTGTGACCTGGATTCTATTCAGTTTCGTTAGTAAGCCACGAGTACTCATGAGCTATCTTGCAACTTCATGCAAAGAGATTGTGCTTCCTTCCTTCATAAGTTTTGTGGGTGTCTGGTAGCACAGGGCTGAAAACCCACGGCTGAATAGCTCTTAAGTGCCAAATCTTCTTGAACCACCTTTGTGTCATGTGTTGCTCCCATGCCTTCAGTTGTCTTGACTTGTTCTTGTTTGTCCCTTTATGCCCTGTATGTCTTTATTCCCCAACAAGTGCGAAAACATGGTCTGTGCTTAATGCGGCTGAAAGAGTTGTAGAGTCTGTATTTGCTGTTGTTTTCGGTGATTGATCTCCATTTTAGGTCTATGTGCACCATTATTGTCTTCACGTGTCGGGATTTGTATAGTATAGTATACCCCGAAACCCTATTCTAATGATTCAGGCCCCGGTCTTATGCTCCCACCCTTACAGTAGCCCATATAGAACCCTTTAAAGGAGCCCGTTAAAGCAACCATGTTCTAATCGTTAGGGCCCCTGTCATGTGTCGAAGAGAGAAAGGTGGTGCATCTTCGAAATCGCTGCCTTTCTGCACAGCCGCAGTCCCGGTTGCAAGCCAGACCTTCAGATCGTTCCTCCGTTGTTGGGGCCGGCGCTGCTGGGATGCGAAGTGCTGTTCGGAATATCACTCTTTGTATACTCTTATGTAGAATCCTCCTTGTCCGCTTCAGAAGATGGAATACTCGTGGGAGAACTCTATGTGGTGGTCACATCCGCTAGCGTCCTGCTATTCGTAAGCTTCATGACGCATGCTTTGCGTGGACATGGCCGCAACATTGATACATTGCAAAGGCAGCTCCGTGGATTCAAGGTTGAGCATGCGAGAAGCGCTTGCTGCGATCTCGGCCATAGAAGCAGTTCTGAGCGTCTCACTTGCGACAGGAAGGTCATTCAGCAGTGCATCGCAGCATGGTACAGCTCGCTGGACAGCTTCGAATTGCAAGTGCAAACTGACGTGCGGCTGGCCATTATCGATCAGCTTGCATACAAAGCCATCTCTTATCAACGTACTGTGCTTCTGAACACTCCGTATGTTTGGATTCGTCTTGATTATGCAGCTAGCCACGCAGACGATCCCATCCGACAGGTCATCGACATGGCCCAAACGTTCACTTACTTGCTGGCAATCTTGCCTTTGGTTGACAAAGTGGGCATCCGCTTGTGCTATCGCTGGCGAGCGCGGTGTTGCAGGCTCCACTTGGACTTCTTGCTATCGCTGGCCGTTGTGATCGTGGGTCTGTCGTGCTACATCGCTTGTTACGCGATCCAACTCTACGTCTTCCGTCAAAACGACCGGGGACTTCTCCTGAGTGTGATCTCAATGCTTTCATGGTGGACTGTCGCAGCCATCCTGTGGCGGTTCATTTGAGTCCACGAGCTGTCCTTGCTTCAAGTCAGAAGCCTTCAATCCTTGGATTGAAGTCTTAAACATCAGACCGTGAACCTCAGACCGATGCCGTAGACATGTGAGATTCCTGCTGACTGCAGCTTTGAGGTATAGTTACCATCACTACCATCTTCAGCATCGTTATCATGAGCATCATCATAACCGTCGCCGTCATCATCAAAACACTCTCGTGTTTCAAGGTCTGGTTGCGCCTTAGTGCTGTATTGAAACGCCGTTAGCTCCATCCTAACTCAAATCCGAAGTCTCTATCCCATGAGCATTCAAAATGAACGTTTCGCTGCAGTAGGCCGAACAGGTTCAACAGGGTGGATGAAAATGACATGCCCGTCCTAAGTGGCAGGTCAACATGCCATGGCATCTTGAGCCTCATCATCGCAACATTCGGGATGTTCAAAGTTGCGTTTTGCACCGGGGGCCCGCGGCAAAATGTCGAGGGTTTCATTTTTAACGTTCGGGCTTCCTTTCTGGAGGAAGCTATACGACCCAGTGGCCAAATGAGCCGTCAGGCGAGCTCGGAAAGGGACAAATGGGCTCAGGCTGAAACCGCAGGATAGACTAAAACCCTAAACCCTGAACCCTAAGCCGCCCCGAGAGCCCTCATGAAGGGCAATGATCGTCCCTACAAATTTATACTATTGTATACCCCAAAACGAATAACCGAAAACCCCATTCTAGTCATATAGGGCCCCTTTTACAGTGTTAGTCTCTCACCACCTTGAGGCGGTGACTGCATGAGGCCACCTGTGCCATGCCGCAAAGCTCGGAGGCAGTTCTGGGCAAGCCAGCGGCGACTGCTGTAATGTAGGGGCCTATATAGTTACCTTATTATTCTGGGGACTCCTTATTACAGTTATAGTATAATGGGCCCCAAAACCCTATGCTAATTATTAAGGCCCCTGTAGTAGAGTCAACGTTCGGCGTTGACGACGACATACCCATTAAATTTTCAGATGCTTCGGGCGAAGATGCGGACGACGACAGAGCTGGCCAGCAGCTGGTGCAGTTCATTGCGTTTATCAACCAGTTGGAGGCCCACGGGGCCAGAAATACTACGCGCAGTCCCTGTTTCTTCTGTGGCGTCCGCGAAAGCTGCCGTTTCTAGACGTCGCATGCATTCACCAAAGTGACGAAGACAGAAAGGGATCATAAGTAATGCTTGCATTTTTGAAACCGTCGACATCCATGCTGGTTCTGTGGGATCCTACGTGGGTCGCAAGACTGTGGCTTGGATTCACTTCGGTCTGTCTGTTTTACGCTGTGTTGCGCCAGTCTGTTTCGTACGAGGGACCTGTCCCCTAAACCCTAAACAGTCGGGAGCTAAGGTGGTGCATCTTCGAAGTCGCTGCATTTCTACGCAGCCGTAGTCCCGGTTGCAAGGCAGATCTACAGATTCTTCCTGCCTTGCTAGGGCCGGCGCTTCTCGGCTGTGAGATGCTGTTCTGTGTGCTTCTATTTCTACATTGAATCTTCGTTGGCATCTTCAGACCGGGCAATAGTCAATAGTCGTGAAAGAACTCTCTCTCTCTCTCTCTATATATATATATAATATGTACATATTGCTCGTTGGTCTTCTTGGGCACGCTCTGCGAGCTTATGCTCGCAGCGCTGACACACTGCAAGAGCAACTCCGTGATTTTCAATTTGGAGCATGCCAGAGTCGCTTGCTGCGACCACCGCCACGACGACAAGTCTCTAGGGGGCCGCGAGATCATTCTTGAGTGCATCGCAGCGTGGTACAGCTCGCCGGACAGCTTTGAATTGCAAGTGCAAACTGAAGTGCGGATGGCCATCATCGACCAGCTTTCGTACAAAGCCTTCTCCTATCCACCAACCTTGCAAGCGTTTACTCCGAATGTCTGGCTTCGGCTCGGGTATGCAGCTAGCAACGCAGACAATCCCATCCGACAGGTAGTCGATCTAGCCCAGACCTCCTGGTGATCATCCCCATGATGGACAAACTGGCCTTCCGCTTGTGCTCTCGCTGGCAAGCGCGAGGTCGCAGGCTCTACTTGGACTTCTTGCTGTCGCTGGCCGTCGCGATCGTGGCCTTGTTGTTCTACATCGCTTGTTTCACGATCCAACCCTACGTCTTCCGTCAAAACGACCGGAGACTTTTCCTGAGAGTGATCTCAAAGATTTCATGGTGGACTGTCGCAGCCATC